GAAATGTTACGCCCCTCACCATACTGTGATGCCGTGTCCGGCCGGAGCGATGAGACAAAAACATGAAAACCCATTACAAACGAGGCATTTGTTGCATCCAGTGGGGACATAATTACTGATTATAATGACTTAAACTGTCTTTTTACGCGTCGCATCGCGCCGCGTAAACATAAAACCCTGTCTGTATTTAAGATCGAAGAAATGACAAACAACAAGTGCTACTCTACACTGCTCAAAACTCATGTTTGAATCATCAGTAGCAAATTCTTTAAATGAAAATGTACTTACAGGCTGTGAGTCAGAACAGCCGGCATTGTAGTCTACTCTACCAGGATCAGGAAACAGTCCTCCAAAAAATGTGCTGCACACATCTGGATATTTGGGTTAAATTGTTCTGGAACAGTGTTGTAAATACAACTTAACCACTGATTTGTAGTCGTGTCCTCTTTTGGAAGACCAAACAAAGTAGTTTCGCTTTCACAACGAAAAACACTGCGGCCTAGCATGAGCTGAGGTGGCGGGGTTGAGAACGGCGCAGCCGGCGGATTCGACGAAGGAGCGGCAACCACATGTGACGACCCCGGGCTGGACTCCGCTTCGTCCACGGTGAAAGCCGATTCGGCGATCCACAGCACTAAGTTGATGTATTCCCTCAGTGACCAGCACAGATCAGCTCTAGGCATGACGAAGAGGATATCGTCCTCTTTTAGAAGACCAAACAAAGTAGTTTCGCTTTCACAACGAAGCACACAGCATCTTCACGACATGGCGGCAGCGGCAAAAATACTACACTGAGAATAAAAGTTACGCCTTCTTTCTTTGCGTAAACATTTGGGCGGCTTTATGCAAACCTTCCCACATAGTGAGGTAGACATGTGGGGGTGTGTTAGAACGAGCCGTTTTAGGTAGGCGTGGCTGACTCTTAACTTTTATAAAGAATATCTCTTTGGATTTGAGACTTTACTCTTTGCAACTTTACAGATCTTCTTTATGCACCAAGAGCTTGTAACACTCCAAAGAGAAAGGAAAAATTTTAATCGCATCATATGACCCCTTTAAAGAACGTATTTTCTTTTACATATCTGAATGTAGATGAACTACTGAACTATAAAGAATCGAAATGTTTGTTAATTTATAAATTAAGGTTATTATAAAGTGTTGAACCTTTTATATTGTCCATTAAGGCTTGAGATCAAGCTTGAGATCATTTTAGTTACATACTATAACATGGATAAAGGCAATAATCCCATTATATAGAATCAATATTGAAATAATTTAATATAGACAAACCCAGCATAAAGTGGGGAATTCTCACTAATAACCTACTTCAGCATGATTTCCCAAGGCAGAGGCTGCATCCTCAGTCCTCTGTGAGTAAGTGGAGTGCGCTGAATGATCTCTGGACTGGGCATCCTCCATGGCACTGTAGTTCTGCTCTATCCAAGCTCGAGTCTTCTACTAGCCATCGCACGTGTTTATGAGCGGCTCCAGTCCATCAACACTCCATATGTGTTAATATCGCGATTACAGAGTCTGCCTATCGATGAACTTCAAAGTGGAAATAACACGAGTACTAGAAAAGAAACCGACTGGTTTATTTAACAGGTTAATCGGATTGTGACAGGACTAAACGCGACGCCTGGGCCTTATGGTGCTTTATCAGACTGAAGAGCGCGTGGCATATGGTCTCTGTTTATAAGGCTGTAGTAAATCACTCACTGAATCACATTACTGACATCACAGTGTTCTTAGTCCAGGTATTTTTATTTACAGCATCGTCTATAGTAAAAGATTGATTTCCTTCCTTGCTTCGTGACGATTGTCCTGGTATCTTTTTTTGTTTGTTTTTTTTTTGTGATTAAGACTTTGCCTTTTCTCTGTGATGATTATCATTTTTATAATATATCAATTACCTGACATGAAATAATAAAACAATCATGGCTTCAAACCTGCCAAATCATATCTCATGCGGAAATATCTGTAAATTTGACCATCTGCAAGTGACTGACCGACATGTGCTAAGGTCTACACATACAAAAAAAAAAAAAAAAATACTGGAAATACACGTGCTTGATCCCAGAATGCGCTGACAGATTTAAACGGCTAATCTTTTACCCGGTAGAGGAATCCGGAAGTGACGGCTGGAAGCAGGGTTGCCAGGTTTTCACTAGAAAACCCGCCCAATCGCTACTCAAAAATATCCCAATTGCGTTTCGAGGGGGTCCCCAGTTAAAAATCGCGTTCCGGGGGATAAAGTACACGTTTTTTGGCGGGGTTCCCCTATTCGCATTCCAGGGGATAAATATCATGTTATTGGAGTCGCTTCAACACGCGGACATGAAAAACAACCCGCGGCAACGGTGTTAGAGTAGCCCAATTCCGCGTGAAAGCCGCGGACTTGGCAACACTGGCTGGAAGATCGTTTTAGCGGTACGTCCAGCCCTAATAATAAAATGGTCCAATCCGGTCCAAGCTGTGCTATTTTCCCAACCCCTCTTCTGTCAAGTCCCACCTCCTGTGGAGTGATTGGCTAGAGCTACCAGCAACTGACCAATCACAAGACGTCCGCAAGAGACTTGTGTTTATCATGATTCCATAATCATGAGACATCCACAATAGTGATGGGAAGTTCGGCTCTTTTCAAAGATTCGGCTCGGCTCTTCCGGCTCCCAAATGGCTCTTTATTTAGTATCACTCTGAGCCTTCTATTTTAGCCCAATTTAGCAATTGTGAATGGTTTGTGTATTGGTAAGCATTTTTTTATTCAGTGTTTTCATAAAAGCTTTATTTATTTGTATGCATTTTTTTTCGTTACCAAAAAAATACAGATACTATTATTTAACATTTTAATAAAATTTTAATTGAACACAGAACCACAGCAAACAAATAAATAAAGGCAAAAGTCTTAACATTAAAGTATTAACATTAAAGACACTTTAGTCTTTAGCGCAGGTTGACATTCAGAAATATCAGACGCCTCAGCTTGGATGGGCTCATGCGATTTCTCCTCTCTGTGATTATTTGTCCTGTTTTTGAGAAGACTCTCTCTGAGGGGACCGATGTTGCAACAATGCAGTGTCTTCCTACCATTACCTTAACCAACGCGCTTGCGTTTAAAGGGGTCATATGATGCGATTTCAATTTTTCCTTTCTCTTCTCTAAAGAAGATCTGTAAAGTTGCAAAGACTAAAGTCTCAAATCCAAAGAGATATTCTTTATAAAATTTAAGAGTCAACCACACCCTCCTAAAACGGCTCGTTCTAACATACCCCCACATGTCTACATCACGATGTGGGAAGGTTTGCATAACGCCGCCCAAATGTTCACGCAAAGAAAGAAGGTGTAACTTTTATTCTCGCTGTAGTATTGTTGTTGCCGCCATGTCATGAAGGCACTGTGTGTTTCATTGTGAAAAGCGAAATACTTTGTTTGGCCTTCCAAAATAAGATGATATCCGCTTCGTCATGCCTGGAGCTGATCCGTGCTGGTCGCTGAGGAAATACATCAACTTCACGCTGTAGATCGCCGGATCGACTTTCACCGTGGACGAAGCGGAGTCCAGCCAGGGGTCGTCACATGTGGTTGCCGCAAACCCGCCGCGCAGTTCTCAAACCCACCGGCCTCCGCTCACTCTAGCCCGCCGTGTGTGACGCTGTTTCATTATGAAAGCGAAACTACTTTGTTTGGTCTTCCAAAAGAGGACACAAATAGAAATCAGTGGTTAAGTTGTATTTACAACCCTGTTCCAGAGCAGTTCAACCCAAATATTCAGATGTGTGCAGCGCATTTTATGGAGGACTGTTTCCTGATCCGGGAAGAGTGGACTACAATGCCAGCTGTTCTGACTCACAGTCTGTAAGTACGTTTTTATATTTAAAGAATTTGCCACTGACGATTCAAACGTGAGTTTTGAGCAGTGTAGAGTAGCGTTTGTAGTTAGTAATTTCTCCAATCACAAATGCAGACATGGTTTTATGTTTATGCGGCGCGATGCAATGCAACGCGTAAAAAGACAGTATAAGTCACTATAATCCATAATTATGTCCCCCACTGGATGCTACAAATGCCTCGTTTATAATGGGTTTTAAATTTTTTTGTCTCGTCGCTCCGGCCGGGACCCGGCCTCACAATATGGCAAGGGGCATAACATTTCCATCACACGCTTGAGGTATTCGGCCAATCCCAATGCACTGGATAGCTGGCCAATCAGAGCACACCTCGCTTTTCAGACCGATGAGCTTTGTAAAAATCAACGCGTTTCAGAAAGGCGGTGCATCGAAGAGAAACAATGTACAGTATGTGGAAAATTTGTTTTTTTAACCTTAAACCGCATAAACACATTTCATTACACCAAATAATGTTCTTTTTAGCAACATCATGACCCCTTTAAATCCGGATACCCCGTCTCTCTCTGTCCCTGGCCTGTACCACTACACTCGCTATCTTCGGAGCGTGTCCCCATTTCTTCTTTCACATAATGGTATGACCCTAGTCTGTCCTCCCATGTGATTAGCCGCATGTGTATTTTCTTCTTATTTTTTTTGTAACGAAAAAATGCAAAAAATAAGGCTTTTATGAAAACACTCAATTAAAAAATTGCTTACCAACACACAAACTATTCACAATTGTTAAATTGGGCTAAAATAGAAGGCTCCGGCTGAAGTTTCGGCTCTCCCCGATGGGAGTCGGCTCTTCTCATTCGCTACAAAGAATCGGCTCTTAGAGCCAGCTTGTTCGCGAACAACACATCACTAATCCACAATGTTTTATGCTTTATCCACCTTATTTGTTTGGTTAAGGCCTATGGTTAAGGCTAGATGGCATACAGCAAAAACTACTGGGCATGCACACATCAATATAGCGTAATTTTCTCACAATGTACAACAATAATTACTATTTTTGCACTATTGTAAGGGGTAGGTTTAGGGTTGGGGTAGGTGTAGACGTTAATAAAACACAATCTAATAGGTAGAAATTATTGTTAGCTTCCGGTTTTTGCTGTATCCCTTCTAGCCACAACCTTATTTTTCCCCTAAGATCGGGAGCGGCTATTTGTAAATTTTATGTGCGAGGCTTCCGGTCTCATCCGAGTTTCATAGCTAATTGTTTTAAATTACTAATTGGTTTGATGCAAGGTTTCAGTTTAAAAACATTGATTCTCAACCTGTTTTTTTTTTAAGAAATTCTTTATCAGCAAGGGTGCATCAAATTGATCAACAGTGATAGTAAAGACATTTATAATGTTACAAAAGATTTTCATCTCAAATAAATGTTCTTCCGTACTTTCCATTCATCAAAGAATCTTGAAAAAAAAATTATGTTTTCAACATTGATAATAATAATAGAAATTTTACTTGAGCACCAAATCAGCATATTAAAAATTCAGCTTTGCCATCACAGGAATAAACTACATTTTAAAATATTTGTAAATTTTATGTGCGAGGCTTCCGGTCTCATCCGAGTTTCATAGCTAATTGTTTTAAATTACTAATTGGTTTGATGCAAGGTTTCAGTTTAAAAACATTGATTCTCAACCTTTATTCATGAATTGGAAATTTGTCTAATTAAAAAAAAACTAATTTGATTACATTTGGCATCTTACAATTATTTAAACCAAGCAATTTATCTTTAAAACAAAGCTGAAGATTGGATGACATGTTGTGCAATAAGTGAGCTTGGCATCCACAATTTTTTACATCAGTGGCCAAGAATGATTCAATTCATATTCAGTACAATCAACAGCACCATAGCAGCATTAACGTTTTAAAGATAAAGAAAATCAGTGACTATGTTTCTCTGGAAGTCAAACTGCATGCATGTTAAAGGTTATTTAATAAATGTAACAAAACATCCTCAGAGTCTCCATCCTCCATCAATGATGGCTTCAGTTCCTGTTACGTAGGCAGACTGCAGGAATAAAAATCCTATGATTATTTTTAAACATCCAACTACATTTTTAATCCAAGTGAACTGTTCAAATGGCAACACCGCTTTTCATTAGCACATGGTGTGTCTTAAATTATACAGAAAAAAAAATACAATGCTTGAAGGCTCACCTCATCTGAGGCCAAGTACACACACAGATGTGCCACTTCTTCTGCAGTGCACAATCTACCAGACTTCTGTCTGGCCATAAAGTCTTTAAAAGCCTGACAGATAAAAGACAAAAACACTATGACAGGGAGAATGACACTGAACTGTGTGTTTATAGGATTAGTAATCACTGTTGGAAAAAAAACATTGGTTAGTGTTTGTATAAAAAACAATTGTACTCATACGAAAAAAATCTATTGTTCGATAGGGCTTTCGATAATATGCTAACGGAAAAAACATATTTTCACAGAAGCATTGTAAATGTTCATACACAGCCATTCTCAGGTTTTAAAAAGCAGATGTGTCATGTTATTCTGCTGACCACTGGATCACAGAATTTAGATTCATGGTGGAAAATGGTTTTACAATTTTTACAGTACAATCTTTTTTACATTTATAATAATTCTAATACATTTACGGTTCTCATACTCCGTAACAAAATGTCTTTACTGTTCTTTTTTTATTTTCCTTATTGAAAACTTTTGAATGCTAGTGTATTATGGTGTTTACAGATATTAAGCAGCAAAAATACTATTTCAACATATAGATTATATCATGTGATCATATGACTCTGAAAATTGGAGTAATGGCTTTTGGAAATTCAGATTTTCATCACAGGAATAAATTACATTTTAAAATATATTACAACAGAATTTTTTTTTAGTTTTGCTTTGCTGTATGACTAAACATTGTGTAAAATATAAACTTCAAGCCTCATTAACTTTCACTCAGAGAAGCCAAAGCTTCTCTATAATTGCCAAAGTATACCATCATCAAAAGTTATTTGATAAGAAGTCGCTGCCATGTTTCATGTGTGAAACATCTCTGGCTGTGTTTCAGTTGGTTATTAGTTATCTTCCCTGAGAGATCTAAAAGAGTTTTGCATTTGTAGAATGCAAACAGCTTCAGAATACTGTGTTTCTTGGCTGTACAGTGCAATGTCTTGGTAATGGAAGCAGTACCTGCTCTGGATCAGGTCTGTCCTGAATTCTCTGTCGTAATGATGGCGTATCTACAGTTCCTGTAAAGGTCAAAAGAAGCAAAATGACTCATATAATCATTAGGTACAGGGACGTTTTTGTATGTTAAAGGTATTTAAGTTAATATAGGAAAAAAAATCAATAAAGTAGCATACCAGGGCATATACAATTGCAGCGGATTCCTTGTTCCAGGAAATCAGCTGCCACTGATTTGGTCAGTCCAATGATGGCAGCTTTAGATGTGCTGTAGACACATCTGTTCACAACTCCTGGACATGCAATTAAGGATAAGCAATTAGGAGAGGGCAAAGTTCACCTGACCTGGCATTTATCCAATTTCACCATCAGCCAAACTGGAGATAATGGGAGTAAGGTAATATGCCAAGAGCTACATGGAACAATGTCAGTCATCACATGTGATTAAGAGCAAAGGGCCAAATCTTGATATACAACATGATGTATTACAGCAGCCCATGCAAATAGGTTGCAACAGAAAATAATTACTACCTTTGATACTAGATGCCACAGATGCCATATTGATGATATTACCAGATTTACGAGCCAGCATCTATATGGAGATAAGGGGAAATCAGTTTAAATGGGCTGGTTGGTTAAAGTAATGCACTTCAAATCAGACAGCAGGATTATCGCATTCGTGTAGTTGTCATAAATCCCATGTTGATAATATCACCAGATGTACAGTATTGTTTAAAAGTTCAGTAAGTTTTTTGTTGCCGTTTTTTTTTAAAGAAATTCTTTATCAGCAAGGGTGCATCAAATTGATCAACAGTGATAGTAAAGACATTTATAATGTTACAAAATATTTTCATCTCAAATAAATGTTCTTCCGTACTTTCCATTCATCAAAGAATCTTGAAAAAAAAATTATGTTTTCAACATTGATAATAATAATAGACATTTTACTTGAGCACCAAATCAGCATATTAAAAATTCAGCTTTGCCATCACAGGAATAAACTACATTTTAAAATGCATTAAAACACAACACGGTTACACTAATTGTAATAATAATAATTGACAGTATTACTGTTTTACTGTATTTTTGATCAAATAAATGCAGCCATTAAGAAACTTCTTTCAAAAACATAAAAAAATCTTAGCGACCCAAACTTTTGAACGTTGAGCTAGTTTTCACACAGTGATGTATAAAAATCATACTAATTTGACTGACATTTATATTTCATTAAAATTAACCAAACATCAACAACGTCTGAGCAAGCATTTGAGTACATTTATGCCGTCACAGGGATTAAGTAGTAAACTGCATGGTAGGCATCTGTTTTGTGCTCTTAACCCAAAGAACAAACAAGACGGGGATGAAAACATAATCTTTAAACACAAAGGTCTTTTCCAGGGATAATGGGAAAAAGAAGAGGTAACATGAGGTGTTCTGGGATAATCCTAGACAAGAGAAGGACAAGATGACCTTAGGCAGGAAGGCCTTGATCATCAGGTACATGCTACGGACATTCACGTTCATAGTGAAGTCCCAATCTGATTCCTCACACTCCAGTACTGAGCCATGATGGACAAATCTGTCAAAGAAAGAAGAATGAGAGAGAGAGAGCATGCACGTTAAATGAACAGTTCCCTCAAAAATGAAATAAAGTCATGCTTTTGCATCATTCCTGAAATGCAATTTCTGAAAGGTAAAATTAGGCAGGATAGGTTACAAACAGAAACTCTGTATAACATTCTATTTTTGTGTCTCTATATGGCTTTAAAAGTTAACTAAAAATATACGCTGCTTTAAAGGAGAAATACAAACCCAGCAACATTGAAGAGCACATCCACATAGTCAAAGTCCTTGGCCAGGGCCTCCACTTGGTCTTTCTTGGTAACATCAACAACTTTGGTTTTGATCCCTAAAAAAAAAAAAAGGGAATGAAAGAACTTTCCAGGAATCAGAAGAGCATACAGAAGCCTGAGAAGAGAAGAACCTTTGAACTAAAGCAATTTGTTTCCAACATAATGGGATTATGTGGCAAAGCAGAGCAGTATGAAAAGGGGGGATAAAAAAGCCCACCAGCCTTTGAAATCCCTTTTTGTGGAAAACTTCTGATATAAACATGCTCAAAGACAATGCTTGAGCAAATTAAAAAGCACACACATGGACCAGATGTCCATCACTAAAGTTAGGATTTGGGAGTTCTTTAGGCAGTTCGGGTAATAACAACTGAATTAAATCAAACAAACAAAAACATTCCAAATGACTTTGTAAACACTACCATAATTCAACAGTGACAGTAAAGACATGTATAAAGTTACAACAAATTTCTATTTCAAATTAATGAAAGAATCCTGAAAGAAAATGTATCAAGTTTAGAAAAGTTTTGGTTTCACATATTCCCACTAGGTGGCAATACACAGCCAGTCAATGAGTTACCTGGAATGCCATCCAGCTCTTTAAGTTTCTCCCCGTTGATATCTGTAGCAGTGACTTGGGCACCTTCCTTGGCAAAAGCCTGTTACAGTTAGGATGATACTACAGTTAAAGTCAGTAAACAACAACATGCATGATTAACATGACTACTTACTATTGACTCACAAGATGTCTGTTAACTTTCTCAACATCTGAATCTGATTCAAGCTTTTCACAATAAGATGGACAAATGTAATGCAAAATTTTCATCAAATCCATTTCTCCTGATTAACAGATATTTTATAGCTCAAATTGAGCAGGGTTAGTGCACACAGCAGCCTGGGCCGATATAAAATCCTACCATATCTAGACCTTCAATAACACTCCACTGGTGAGATTTCATTTGATGACAATTTGTTAAATTACATTTGTTCCCACCATGTGATCTGCCAACTGGCTCAGGGCTACAGTGTTTCCTCAATCTGTAGTTTTTCTCATTTAATACTCATTTGAATATTCACTTGATATTGAAATGTATTCCCCTAGCAGGTGTGCATCTTAACCACCTCCAGCGCTCTGCTGATAACGTGCTGTTGACTTCTAGAGAATTTGCCTAAACGATCTGAGACACTCTATGATTCACCCCTTAATGATTTATTATAGCATTTTCATATTAAAAATGGTCGTAAATATAGGAAATAGGTTGCAAAGACTAGAAACATTCTACCCTCAAGCTGGTTTCAACATTCTTCATAGCGTCACTGTGTCCCAAGAATTCTGACATTCTTAAAATGTCATGTTGACAGCCCTTGCATGACAAGCTTTTATTCAACAGGAAAACACATAGCAATTGTAAACCCTCAGAGTAAATCCATTTATTATACTCATCAAAGTGGCATGCAGAGCTGTCAATAAGCCGCAGCAAACTTATGGAGTTGTAAGGAGGACGTGAAATCTTCGAAATGGATGTAAAATGAATGGTTACTATAGCAGAAGCTTTTCCAATGCCTTGTGCTGCTGCAGAAAGGACTATCACTTTCCCATCCAAACGGCCCATTGTCTTCAATAAGAACCTAAACGTGTAGAAAAAAAGCATAAAAACGCAAGGTTCATAACTTAAATGAAATGCTATAAAAGATAACACATTTACCCTTTTAAAGTCACAAATGAACAGCTCGAAAGGCAATGTTTATATCCCAGTTTAACAAAACCTGCATGCATTGAGTTTATAAAGCAGTTCTCGTTTGCAGCAAATAACCTGATAGCCTGCTGATGGGTAATTGTAGGTGATGAACATTCAGGAGTGTACGATTAATCCCGAAGCATATAGATATGTCATGCATTATGCGACGGTAATTTAGTTATGTTTCATTATGTGTAGCAAGCGTGTCACGTGACGAGCGTAAAGGTAACACAGTGCAGCAGTAAGTCTAATGAATGACTGTAAACATAAAAATAAAAAGACGCAGTTCAAGTGTAAGCGCACGTTAATACTTCACAGCTAGTCAGTGGAAAATGTCAGAGCCTGTTTACAAGAATGAAGAACAGTGGAAGAACTTACTGACAACTTCTGTGTTCCAGAAAAAAACACACGCGACGGACCAACGTCTGTGTAGTTCAGGCTTCAATTTTCTATCAAAATAAAAGTCATAAGTTGAATTGCATAAAATGCGATCAATTATTGTACCACAAATACGGCAACACAAGGTATAGGAAATATGTGGTTTTGAAATTTTATTTAAAAAAAATTAACAACAACCATAATAGGAACAATAACAAAACAGTAACGGTTATCGTGATTATGATGATGATGATAACATTACTGGAGAAGTGATAAACGTAGCTCTACTCAGAATGAAACAATAGCCAATAATAACATTATTAGGAACTGCTAGGTAATTAATATAACATTTCAAGAAACATTTAGACAATGGTGTTTTTCAAAAGGGAGAGGAAATAAGAACTGTTTTTATGCCCTGGCAAAAATGCATATTTCAGAGGCACTAAGGAAGAAGGAAATCTAGATGTCTATTTCAGTGCTGCATGGAGTTTCAAGAAGGTGGTGTACTGTAACACAACAGCATGAGGTGTAATGGCTGGGTAATAGAGAACTAGCAATTAAACAGTGATGCCACAGTTTAATAGGCTTTTATTTTGAAATTAATATTAACTTTATTTTTTTGTTGTTCAGGAAATAAGAACTGTTTTTATGCCCTGGCAAAAATGCATATTTCAGAGGCACTAAGGAAGAAGGAAATCTAGATGTCTATTTCAGTGCTGCATGGAGTTTCAAGAAGGTGGTGTACTGTAACACAACAGCATGAGGTGTAATGGCTGGGTAATAGAGAACTAGCAATTAAACAGTGATGCCACAGTTTAATAGGCTTTTATTTTGAAATTAATATTAACTTTATTTTTTTGTTGTTCAAAGTCTTAAACCTGATTGGGGTGCAAGGGTCAACTACCACCATACCATTATCTTTGCATTTTAGTAGAGAGAGCGAGAGAGAGATGTTGTTTAATGTTTTGTTTAATCCATTATTACCCATTTAGAAAATAAACCTAAAAGTGTAAAAGAGTAGTTCATGAGTTATGTATATTAAGAGCACATAACAACATAACTTTATTTTTTTGTTGTTCAAAGTCTTAAACCTACTTGGGGTGCAAGGGTCAACTACCACCATACCATTATCTTTGCATTTTAGTAGAGAGAGAGATGTTGTTTAATGTTTTGTTTAATCCATTATTACCCATTTAGAAAATAAACCTAAAAGTGTAAAAGAGTAGTTCATGAGTTATGTATATTAAGAGCACATAACATTGACATTGATAATGGAGTCACAATTTGTAGAAAATGAAGATGCAACTTGAAATGATTCAGTATGTCTCTATTTGCTCAGGCACACCACTTAGGGTCATGATGGTCAAATCAAAAGGCTAAAGGAAAAATGACTTTGCTTAAAGACTCCTTTCTGCATTTACTGTCAAGAGGTGCTAGGACCCAAATCCAATCTAAGGTCACCACTTGGCCAATGCAGTGCAAAAAACACAAATGGACCTACAAGCAAATTGTTTGACTCTTTTGATGTTGAATCTATCCCATCATCCAATTCACTGAGCTGAAATTAGTGCTTTGTGAGCTTACAGGCATGAAAATAGACACACAGTGCTTCAGTGAGATACATCTAGAGGGTCTGTGTAGTTCAGTGGATGTCTTATTAAGGCTGTAGGAACCCTTTAATGGCTTATCGATCCTGCAAAAAAAAAAGTGGAGGTAAATAATGTTTTTATGCCTGGGGCTTCACTTTCTTTTTACATCACAGGCTTGCCATTAAACCATCCATTCCTTTGATTTAAACACATTAGTAGATTTATTTATTTATACATGAGCACGTTACACAAGAAGAAAATAAGTGAATACGTGCAGTAGTAGATAAATGAAAATAGCAATTTTGTAAAAACAAAATTAGAGTTTGAAAAGATGGCAATGTGTGGCAATGTGTTTTTCAGTTGTTGATTCTGAGTGGTTAACATTAAAATAGTGGTAAAACCATTATTAAAGCCATTAAACCATTAGATTATGAGGACTATTAAAATAATTATGTATCATAAATATATCATATTAATAATAAAATAGTATATATACAATATATATATATATATATATATATATATATATATATATATATATATATAAGAAATACATATAGAA